GCCCTTCCGAAACGACAAAGATCTGGCGGGTCTGGTCACAAGTTGGGCCGCGGTAATGAGGGTGAGACAGAGGATGGCCCGGAACAACAATCGCATAATCAATGGATGGCGGGCACTCGGCCAAAAATCTCCAACTTGCGGCTTGCACCGAATATCCTTCGCCTCGTCTTGCACGAATCTTCGCCCGACGGGATTGAGACGTTGGGCGGAACCAGAGTTCCTCTTGGTTATTGATAACGGTGCTTTGCCCCCTCCCCCTCACCCCATCGACCGGCCACTAACGACTTTTTCCCCCCTATTCGTCGAGAGAGAGATCGCCTTGGCTCTTGGTCTTTCCCTTTCCCTTCCAACTTTATCAAATTGTTCTTCGATTGCCTTGTTTTTCGATATTCGATATTCGAGAAATATATGGTTATATTCGAACGATCGAAACACGAATCGAACGAATGTAATTGCGAAGAGAAATTTTTATTTGATATTTTTTTTTTTTTTCTTTTTTTTTACAAATTCAATCAAACGAATCGAAGAATATCGTAGAATGGAAGAGGGAGAAGCAAGAAGAATTCGTTTCGTTTCGTGTCTTTTTGAAAATCCGTATTTTCTCTGTACATATACGAACGCTTATTCGAACGGTTCATTAAACCTGGCGCGAGTGAAAATGCAGTCAACTACACACGATTTGGAGAGAGAGAGAGAGAGAAAATGGAAGAAATAGAGGGAAGTACGAGGATTTTCAAAGACGAAAAAAAGTTAGTAGGATGTTGATGTTGAGATAAGAAAATTCGCGTGTTTTAGTTTCCGCATAACATCGCCCTGGTTAAATCAACTTTGTTTAAACCGACCTACCTTGGGTTTAACTTCCGGTTGAAATAACTCCATTGCGCGCATCCAAAATACTCGTAAAACTCGGGATTTAATAACAAATTATCCCGCGTATTGTTACGCACACCTATCTTCTCTCCCCAACATATTTATGAATCTAATCTCGAAGCTGTAGCCAAAGTACGAAGTTTTCTTTTCTCCTTCTCTCTCTTTCTATATATATATATAAATATATTTTTTCTTTTCCCTCCATCTCTTCGTCGATTAATCTCTTCTTCAACACAATGCGAGACCAAAAAACGATTAACGATTAAACGAACTCGATAGAGAAGCGGTGGTATGGATCCATCAAAGAGTGTCGTGTTTAATAAACGGATGCTTCGAGAAATGAGATTATTTCATTGGCATTCTTAATCAACAGGAAAATTCTCGATAAAAAGTGCCAACTCGTTTATTGCATAGCAATGATGCTATGTAACGATGAGAACAGCAAGGTTTGGTTGATAAAAAAGTAGAGAGAGAGAGAGAGAAGAGAGAAGAGAAGCGTAGCGCCGTAACCCGGGCGCGAGCCGGATGCAACTAGGTCGAGGAAGAAAATGGAGGCGTTGAGGAGAGTGCGCTCGAACGAATAATGATGGATATTGTGTGTATAATGTACAACGGTAACATCTTATTGTCACGATACTCAATAAATCGTGGATATTCGGTCTAGAATTCCTTGGCCAGGAGGACACGTGGAATAAATCATCGAGCAATTATTTCCCCTTCTTCCGAACGTGGCCGCTTCTAAATATTCGTAGTCCATCGTGAAAGCGTCTCCCTCGTCCGGTCTGAAACGAAAATACCATTTCGAATCCATGAATTTCGTCTCGACGAGCGATTGAAAGTGGAAAGACACCCCGTCCCCGAAAATTCTTATTCGTTTAATTATTACATTTATTTATTCTATCTTTTCGCTAGGGATAGAAGAATTTTTGGGGCCAAGTTCCAATCCATTTTTTTAATAAAAAAAAATTCTATTGTGTTTTACGTTAACAACAAGTGCAACAATTCGCCGACCAATCCCTCGTCCTTCAACGATGTCGATGCCGCTTCGCAGATATTTTTCTTCAAGCAAGCTTTTCCATCCACGTTACGCCTGGAAACGATCGTTAATAATTAATAATCCGGTGGAAATCGGCACGATATACATTAGACAACAATCTAATCGAAACGTTTATTATATCGTCAACGATTAAATGCATTATTATCTCGTTGGTATATGATTAAATTTAAGCATTACAAGCTAATAGAATTTATATATCTGAATTGTTCGTGCGCGCTCTGTTAATTATTTATCAAACCTACACGGAACGATAACATAACGCGTTATACATTCATTTCGGGTAAAATATTTTCAATCGTAAAAGAGTCGTCGTTGAATTAATTATTAACTATGAATAAGCGATAAAAATGACAAAGGCGACGAAACGATAAATCGCGTCGTCCATTATTAACTCGAATTTTAAACATTTCGAATTATTAATATCCCCTCGGTTACGAATCTTTTGTCGTTATACAAATCCAAGATATCGAAGATGTTGATTAATCGAAGAAATTATTTTTTATTTATTCGGTGGAAAAATATTTTTTCTCATATTCTTCTTATTATTATTATTTCTCATCTTCGATCCATCATTCGAGATTCGTGCAAGATTCGAAGAGATTCTAGGTTAGAGGCACTTACATGTCAAGTTCACGTTGAAGAATGTCGTATACAGGGACCCTCTCGCTCCAACTCGCTCTACGTCGTCTTCGTGACGCGTCTTGGAAGTAGTTGGTGAAGAAGGTGGCGTTGTTTGGCAACATGTATTGAAACTGAATGTTTTGGCCGTATGACAAAATCTGGCCCGAGACCTGCACCGGCATCGCGAACCCTACAACGAGCTTAACGAGAAATAATCGCGAATAAATAAGCGAGTTTCAGTCACTGTTTCAGAGTTTCAGTGTGCTTTTTGGAAACAAATTTTAACAATCGATCATATTCCCTTATTATTATTATTTCCCCACCCGCGAAAGGGTACGTAGAATCCTCAAGTGAACGTAATCCAATTTTACGATTTTATAAAAATGTTTCGAATAATTACGTAATGGAAAAGAATCGAGAAGAAAGAATGAATTGTTTCAGAAATAAATAAAAGGGAAAGGGAATCCGTCGAAATTATATCGTTTTCAATTAAAAGAGATTTGCTTCGATCCTCGAAAGTATGAAAATATTATATAAGGAAATAATCGAGTTATAATTACGTTAAGCACTTGGAACTTGGAGAATGGTTTATAAATCATTCGCGGCGGCGATTATCGGAAAGAATTATCAAAAGAAGTTCCACTTCGCGAATCGCGAGAAGTGAAACTTTTGCAAGTGTAAAGAATTTACACGGCCGAGAAATAAAGGGGAGGAGGAGGAGGAGGAAGAAGAAGAAACCGGATAGTTTTCCTTTCTTTTTCTCTTTTTTTCTTCTTCCCTTTCAAGTGGTTCCCGAACAGAGATAAATCTGGCGCGCGTGAAATGAAATGAAAAAACTAGCGGAAACGGAATCAAACGTGCAACAAAAATGACTTCCCCTACCGCTGTGTTTCCCATGATGATTTTTACATTATACCTTCCACGAAAACGAAGATGGGAATACAATCTATGTTAAAGTCCAACAAAAGAAAGGAAGAAAGAAAGAAAGAAAGAAAGAAGTGCTGGTGGAAGGAAAATTTGAAGCTCACCTTGGCTAGATCTCAACTTTTCGAATACTGCTTAACCCTCATTCGTTTCCAAGAAAAGATATTACGGCGTCGCTGAATTACCTTTCTTCCTCCCACGTTTCCTAGTTTCCATCTCTCTCTCTCTCTCTCTTTTCTTCTTCTATTATCACTTTGTATATACGTACTCGAGCATTATCTCTAGCGTAACGTAAATGTTTTATTTTTCTTTCTTTCACGATAAGAAAAAGAAAGTCCTTTTCTCTCTTAAAATCAGGCGAGAGATATTCAGGCGAGAAGTTGATGACATCCCTCCCTGAAGTTCTCACTTCGCGTTCATCGTGAACATCGTTCGTTCGAGATCACTCATCGTGCAGCTTTGTGCACGTAAATATCCAACCGTCTTTCCAACCTTTCCCCGTCTCTCCCATTGAGCTGCACGTCCCCATTGAAAGGTTGTTGCGTGACACGCGAGATCCAAAAGAGGAGTTTTCGCGGAGAACGGATGGTTAAATAAATTCAACTCGGTGTTTTCGAGACCCGTTTTCGTCCGGCACAAAAGTGAAACGACGCGTGCTACAACTTCGTAATTGTCCTGGTGATAAGGTAGAAGGAAGGCTTCAAGGCCCTCCCCTTCCAAGCGAAGAGACATGGAAGTAATTCAACGTCGCCCAAACTCTCTTCTTTCCACCACTTTTCTCCTTTTTCTTTCTCACTTTGAAGCTGCGCTTTTGACGCAGTGCAGCTCCGCCTGTTTAGATACATACTGACCCAGAAACCGGGCTGAATTTTATTTCACGCCAGTTTCCCGCCTCTCCCCAAGGCGAACGTCCAAATATTTGCCTTATAGTCGTTCCTGTTGCTTGGAAATTTGCTAATCAAACACTTTTACACCGTGGAAACCGTGGTGACGTCGAAATCCACAAGGAGAGCCATCCGCGCTCGGTCACCCGGACCTCGTCGTTTCCAATTTCTTTTACCTTTTATTTGGAATACCGAATCGTAAAAGGGGATGATCCTTCCGATTTCGAAGCATCGATCGCGCGTTCGACGAGAAATCGGAGAGGAAGAGGAAGGGGGGAAAGGTACAAATAAATAAAAGAATAAGTTAATTATCAGCGCCTTCTCGTTTCTCCCTTTTTTACCCTTTTTCCAACGTTCCTTCCAAGCATGCAAGCGAATACATCCATAAATTCCTGACTAAGACTCGTAACTAAGACACTGGCGTTAAACTCCCTCAAACAAATTCTCTGTTTAGCTCGTATTCCGTTTCCTTGTCCTTGTCCACCTCCTCGAGGAGGGATCCTCCGACCGGCCAACTGCTAATTAATTCCGTACCGTGACGGAGACGACATCCGAGACGTTAATTGGCGAGAGGAGGGAAATCTCTTTCGCGTTTTTTCTCTCCACCGATTTTTTATTTTCGAATTTTCGAACAAAGAATATTCAGAAAAATATTATTATATTTTTAGAGACAAGAGTTGTCTTTCTTATCCCTTCAAAATTGCTCTCTTTTTTTTTCTCAACCATTTCAAGATATCCCTTTCCGTCATCTCGGTTAAACGAAAATTAATCGTTGCTTCCCCTCATTTCTAATTAACTTTCCCTCCCAAAAAAATCTTTCTTCTTCTCATAACCTCTCATAATAAATCAAAGACGGACAACGAAAAACAGACCCTCCCCCTCTCCATAAAAGAAACAACAAAATTTGAAGCAAGTTACAAGCGACATTTATGCGCTTGAGAGACGAAACGAAACGCGTTTTTCGTTTTATTTATCTTTTGGATACTAATCTGAACCATCGCTCGACACCGCTACGACTAACTTTCGATAATTCGAAAAGTTGATCATCAGACGCTTAGCTGATTAATTATTTCAACGAAGGATTCGCGCCCCGTCCAATCCAATGAAGAGGGCGCGCCAACGATGCTGTTACTCAAATTAGCGCGCGAGTTAAATCCTCGTGGAACGAGGAGAGGCGTGTTCGCGTAATCCCATCAGCCTCGAAGAGGACGAAGCGATTATTATTAAGTTTTATCGCTGCCTACGTCCAAGCACGGATAAATACCTTCAAAACACCACCGAGAGGATAAACGAGGGGCGGTGGATACAAGGCCTGCCTCTTCCCTCGAACTTCCCCCTTCTCGCTCGCCTGGATCCGTCCCATTGTCGCGAGGAACAGCAACGACAATCTCCAGTCCACCCTCGTCCGAATAAACATCGTCGCCCCTTATTTCCTCCTCCAAGTCTCTCCTCCTTCGATCGCCTGGAAATGGAAAAGATCGATCGACAATTTGATCGAGAATCTCGCTACACTTCCTCTTTCTTGCTGGATCCGATAATTCTTCGATTATTTCGTGGAAGAGGAAAAATGAGATTGAAGAACTTTTAACCCTTTGCACTCCTGTTTCGCTCGGTCGAACCAGCAACTCCAGACTCAGTCCCACGCGTTTGGTGCGTTCGATGGCCTCGAGATTATCATAAGATAATTACTTATAAGATAAGATTACACCTCATAAGATTATACGTAAAGAGGAACCTATTTATGAAGCGATATTTTTAAAAAAATCAAACATAAATAAATATTGTCGCCGCAACAATCCCAGTGGTGGCCGAGAGTCAGTTGGAGAGCAAAGGGTTAATAAAAAGAAAAAGGAAAAAAAGTGAAACTAAAACTATTGCACGAAAATTAATGGATCAACTCACCCTATCTCGAACGTAATTTCTTCCCCTTCCCCTGGGCGAGGCACAAATGCACGCTGCAACTCGAAACTCGTAGGCCACAAGTCTGGCCGGGGCTTCTCAAACTTGCCCACCCACTCCGGCGAAATTAACGTATCATCTGTCAACTCATAGGAGCATAGTTGCGCTCCAAGAAGGTTCGTACGACCGACTGTAGTTCGGTCGGACGAGCTAATTTTCCGTCTTTGCTAGACAACCGGCCCGCCCATCCCTTTTCCTCTTCTTCTCTCTCTCTCTCCTCGTCGACGACCGGTTTCAATCGTCACTTCTCCGTTTCGTTAACGAGACAAGAAAACAAACCGACCATTCCTTCAAACCGATCTTTAAGGTCGTTGACGTTTTACTTTACTACTTCTCCTCGCGTCCATTTTTCCCGACGCCAATAAAAACATCGTTTTTTAAAAAGAACGAATCGAACGGAATGAGCGAATCATCGACGAGACTCTTCTCTCTCCATCCTTCAATGCTTCTCGAAGAGGAGAGAGAAGAGCACGTCTTGTCTTTCTCGCGTATAATCGCGGTCAAAAGAGAGAAAGAGAGAGAGAGAAGGATTGCTTAAACTTGGGACAACTCGCGAAATAAGTTTCGGCAAGGATAAGATCCCAAACTTCCGCTTCCGGCGTGACAAAAGGGAACTGAAATATATAAACAAAAGGAGGGAAGAGTAGTCTTTCCAACAGAGCGAACAAAGTTGCCAGGTGAAATTTCCAGCTTCTCTTCCCAGATAGTAAGAAGTATTCTCTCTTACGAGGGAGAGAAAGAGGAAGTGATGAAAATCACGTTGATGTTTCCTTGTTATAATATCTCTCGATCCGTCGTGGTCGATAACGAGTCGATGCAAGAAAATTTTCTCGATAGTGGATTCTTCGAGAATACGAAACGTATCTTACTCGAGGAGGATCTCTATTTTTCAAAGATACACGGACGGGCTCGAGGCTGTGAAACGTTATCGGAATACGTCGTCGAAAGACAAACGCGGAACGCGCGATGAATCGTTGTTGGAATAAAATGGCGACAAACAACGGTATTGAAAGAAATAGGGGTGGTGGACGCGTTAGGGATGTTTCTATTTTAGGACGAGCATCAACAGCGAAATTTACTTAGGACTTTTGTTCCTTCCGTCCATCTTTCCATCGTTTTCATCGCAAGCTGAAAAGTCTGACCTACTCGCGAATATTATATCGAACAAATGTCCGATCGAATCGTTCACGTTTGTCTAATAAATTCTTGAGAAAAAAGAAGAGGAAAAAAAAAAAAGGATTATACAAAATAACTCTTCAAGGATTCTTGTTCCCCTTGACAACAAGTCGATCGTCCTAGAAAGGAAACAAGTGATAATATCTCGAGATTAAGCGAGATTAAGTGAGTATCTGGTGTATAATTATAAAAAGCTCTTTTATTGCGAATTATATCATAGGAAGGAAGTGGTTGAAACGTAGAGCTTTCCAGGGCAGCTCTCGCTTACAACGAAATTTACTTAGCACTGTGTTCTCGCCACCATTCCTTACTCCCCTCGTCCAAACCCCTCCGTAATAAATTCTTTTACGATAAAGTCACTCTCCCATACGCTCTCCTCCGAGACGTCTTGTATCCGGAAGGTATACAGAAACGTAGAGAACGATCGATTCGTCTCACGCTGTGAATAATATAACGCCGTATTTTTGTGAAAAAAGTTTTTTCAAAATCGGATCATCGACAAATGTTGTCCATCGAGTTGGAATCGATCGATCGCTCCAGCGAGAGGGAGGGGCTCCAAAGTTCGGCGAAATCAATGTCGTCGAAATGTCGCGTTCCCCCATTTCCCCTAGGGGGACGCGATCTCCGTGAACGTTTCGAGGGGTGACTCGGTGCAATCGGGATAGGCGAGGATGCAGTCGCCTCCGGATCTTCCCAATAGTTCCGCATCTCGGTACGAGTGGTCGACGATCCGGCGAGTGGAGTTAACCGAATCTGGCAAGTCCTCGCTCGGCCTAATTGAGAAATTTCAACGCGGTTCTCACCTGTGTTCTCACGCGACAAATGTGCGATCTCTTTCGAATCACAGGATGCTTCGCTCGTAAACGATGACGAACTTTTTCGAAACGCGTAGTATGAAAATATACGAAAGCAAAGTTAAAGCAAAGTTTGGATCTCGAAGCATCCTATGATAGATAAGGATATGGAGGGTATTCCAACGAAAAATTCGAACTTTTGAAACATTTGCAAACTTTGAAGAAAGGAGAAATTGTTTGGCGATAAAAAAAGGGGGAGGGGGATCGATCGAAGGAAAGCGCAATTGTGCCAGTGTGGATAAACCGAAGAGATATTGTTGATATTCGACGCGCATTACCCGGCAATTGTTTCGAGGGATGTTGCGGATTACGTCGATAGAAATTTCCAGCCAACGAGCCGTGTGTGTACAAAGGGAAAACCTACGCGAAACACCTTCCATTAGAAGCTTAATGCACGCGCCTAACTTGGTCGCAATTAAAGTAGCCGCTCACTGGCTCGGTTGCAATTTCCTTCGAGTACGCGGCCGGAATGGCGAATTCCTGCCCGGTTTCCGATCGCTCGGCCAATCATTCGTTCCATCATCGATCAACCATTAACTCGATTCCACCCTTGCATTACCACCGCCCTTTAACCCTTCCAATTTCCCTCCCCCGATCGCTAAATTAACGATATCGCTCGTCCAATCTTTAATTTTCCCGCGTGTAAAAATTTCCAACCTTGCTCTCCTCCTTTTCCGGTTATATTTCGAAAAGCTATTGAAAACTTTCGATGGATTCTTTTACCCGAACGTAATCGTAAAATAAAAATTTTGCATAAGAAAATGATGCTGACCGAAGTTCGGAATAATTCGTCGATCGAACGTGTCGGTCGTTGTTGTACTCTCAATATAACAAAAAAAAAAGAAAAGAAAAGAAGCGAATGGAAAAATCGTAGAACAAAATCGTTAAACGTTGCCACGCCCGGTTGGAACATGGATTTTACTGCATTATCTCGGTGTATTCGTGCTTCGTTACGCGAGGCACCGTCGTCTTACTTCGTCGTAAGCGGGCAGGACAGCCATTAGAGACTTCCAACGGAATTCATTAACCGGAAGCTCCTCGAGAAATGAACTTCGTTTCGGAAAGTACACGAGTCAAAGCGCGATTCGTCGGAACCAACTTACGTTAAAATTAAGTGGATCACCTCCTCGAGGACGTCACGACGCGTCCTTGCAAACGGTGTCTCCGCGAGTTCGCAGATGGTCTTCAGAAGGCACTCTCTCCCGTCCTCCCAACCGTGCCTGAACAACAAAACAAAACGCTCCGATTTTAATCGATATCTCCTCTTGTCCTCTCTTTCTCTCCCTCTCTCTTTTCATTTCCTCTTCTTTTTTCCTTTATTTCGTAATTTTATTTAGGAAATCGATGGAAATCGAGCCCTTCGGCGAACCGTGCGCCACGATATCGGTTTTATAAAATGGCGAAAGGGAATTTCTTAAGCGTATTTCGTTCCCATCCGAGAAATTCATTATCCTGGACGGCTTGCCTCGAATAAAATTATGTCACCGAGGGGGATGGATGCAAATTTCGAATTTCGGATTTTGCCGCCGCATTTAAACATTTTTCGAATACTTTCGAATTAAAGATACGTGAAAAAAAGGAAGAAAAAAGAGGGGGAATGAAAATNTCGAGAAATTCATTATCCTGGATGGCTTGCCTCGAATAAAATTATGTCACCAGTGGAGGAATGAATGCAAATTTCGAATTTCGGATTTTGCCGCCGCATTTAAACGTTCTTCGAATATTTTCGAATT